TTACTCACCCTGCCCTTTCTCCCATAACACTTCCTACAGCCTCTCCTCCCCCAGGTTTGCATTTAGAAGACGTTAACTCTGTATTGTCCTGAAAGTCACCTCTGAAGTTGCCATATATAGGGAAAATATGAAATTGTAGCTAAATGTACTTTTATTTACAAAATATTCATTATGAACGTTTACAAAGAGGTGGCCAACACGTAGAGAATGTTCTGTATGTATTTTATAAGATGTAGTGTGGACAGAGCCTTCTCCACTGGACTGGGCTGGCTCTGCCACTGCCCAGACTGGGAATCAGCAGGGAACAGCCATGAGGGTGGAGGACAGGGGGCGGGGGAGTCGAGAGCGGGTCTGCCCAACTCTTTTACTCTCTATCCACGAGAAACACTCAAAAGTAGGATGTCTGGGCAGTTAGTATTTGTCATGAACTTCTGCCCAGGGGGTCTACCCCTGTCCCTGCCAGGCATGTGAGTGCCAGGCAGAGGCCTCCCCAGCTGGACACCGGCCAGGCCCAGGCTAGTAGTGCCCAGATCTCTAGCTCCCACATGATCTAAGGGGTGGACATGTAATTCTAGCTGGGCTATCTGGAATGTTCCAAGCAATTGGATATCTGGATATTACCTAAAAGAGCTCTTTTTCCTTGAATTATAAGCAAGCACAGTTTTAGAGCGGCTGGTGGGTGTGTTTCCTGACATATGCGGAGAGCTCCTTATGCTAGATGAGAGTTAAGCCAATGTGCAGAGAAAAGAAGGTTGAAATATGGAGGGAGGGAGGGACAGAGAGCGAGAGCCGTTAGCCTCCCAGATTCACCCTAAGCCTTCTTGGTTATGTGATCCAACATATCTTTGTTCTGGCTTGTTTTGTTTACTTAAGCAACTTGCTGGATTTCTGTCACCTGCAACCCTGAGTACCCTGAACAGTAAGATGAGAGCCACGGTTCTTAAAGTATGGGGATGCTTGAAGTCAAAATTATTTTTGCAACAATGTCAGGATGATATTTGTCTTTTTTGTTGTGATGAACATTGCGTGATGGGCTCAGCCGTTGATGCCTGAGATGAGCCACTGGGTAGTACAAACTCTACCAGTCACTGTGTCCTTCACACACCTGTGCTACCACAAAAACAAAAACAAACCTTCCTTTAAGAATGCCCTTGATGAAGCAGGAAAAATGATGTTGCTAAGTATTGACCTTGAATACACATCGTTTTAATATTCTCTTTGAGAAAATGAGAAGTATGCAGGAAACATTTCTGCTACACACCTAAGTTGTCTTGAGGGAGAGATTTTGGTTCCCTAAGCTCAAGGTTTTTCTATAATTCAACCCACTAAGAATCCTCCCTCTTTGTCCTTCTCCTGGTGAGAACTGCTGTTCAGGAACCTGCACCAAAGTGCAGATAATCTGGCCCCTGCGACTGCTATTGCTCCTGAGTAATACACTTTACCTTGTCTCTGACCCAAGAGTTTCACATTTACTTTTAATATCTCAAGAGTCTGAGGTAGGCTAACTTGTTAGCTTGTAAGTAGGGTAAAACCCCAGTTCCTTCCAGAGGTCAGAAGTAAACTATACTTGGCTCAGTGCCCATACTCAGTGTTTAGGGCCCAGGCCACATACAACGGGGCTGGTGGGTTCAAACCTGGACCAGGACTGTTAAAACAATGATGACAAGAACGACAAAGTAGCTGGGTGTTGTGGCGGGCATCTGTAGACTCAGCTACTTGGGAGGCTGAGGCAAAAGAATCACTTGAGCCCAAGAGTTTGAGGTTGCTGTGAGCTGTGATGCCATGTGAGGATGACATAGTGAGACTCTGTCTAAAAAAAAAAAAAAGAAAGAAAAGAAAAAGAAGTAAACTACATTTCATCAGATACAATTTATTATTAAAAGTACATTGCAAAGGTCAGCAAACTCCAGACCATGAGCCGAATTCAGTCTGCTGCCTGTTTTCATGTATTCCACAAGCTAAGAATGGTTCCAAGCTGGAGTGCAGTGGCCCAATCATAGCTCAGTATAACCTCGAATTCCTGGACACAAGCCATCCTTCTGCCTCAGTCTCCCCAGTAGCTGGGACTACAGGCATGTGCCACCACACCCGGCTATATTTTTAAAATTTTTTTTTGGTATAGACAGGGTCTCACCATGTTGCCAAGGTTGGTCTTGAACTTAAGTAATCCTTCTAACTTGGCCATCCCACAGTACTGGGATAACAGGCCTTTCCCCCGCTCCCCCTCCCCCACCACCCGACTGGTTTTTACATTTTAAAATGGTTATTATGTAAATAGTTATGTATGACCTCAATTTTGCCTCTTGGCCTGCAAGGACTAAAAGATTTACTATCTGGGGCTGAGCACCCATAGGTCAGTGGTTAGAACATTGGCCCTGTGAACCAGGGGTGGCGGGATTGAACCCAGCCTGGGCCTGCTTAACAACAACAAAAGATTTACTATCTGGCCCTTTACAGAGAAACTTTGCTACCCCTGGTATAGAATCTGTGTCCCATCTTCCTGGGCTTGGGTTTCCCAGGTCTCCCATGCCTCTGCTACATCCGCTATGTGGTTTGCTAATGGGTCCTGGGTGGGGAACTTCACAAAACCCAGAAGGATGACAGTTAAGCAGGTCTGCAGTAACGGAGACCATCTGTCTTTCAAAACATCTAGACAGATTCTTCCCAAGCGTCTTGCATTGGGGTGATAAACTCTCATCATGAAACATACTTTGGGGCTGCTGCTGGCTATTCTTCTGGAAGAAACAGTTCAAGTTCAAAAGATTCCCCTTCAAAGGAGGAATCCCCTGGGCCAGCAATGTCCGTATGAAATGCTGAGCGCTGTCTCCTCTGCCTGCCTGCGTGAATGGTGCAGCAACAAGTGCTGGGTTTCCTTAACAGATTTTCAGTGCACTGATCATCTTGCTTAAGCATGTCCCCCCACCCCCTAGGCAGGGTCTTGCTTTGTCCCCAGGCTAGAAAGCAGTGGTGTCATCATAGCTCACAGCAACCTCAAACTCCTGGACTCATGCAATCCTCCTGTCTCAGGATATGGGACAAGAAGCTGGGATTATGGGGGTGTGCCAGCACACCCAGCTACTTTTTCTGTTTTTGTGTAGAAATGGAGTCTATATTGCTCAGGCTAGTTTTGAACCTGTGGTCTCAAGCCATCCTCCCACCTCAGCTTCCGAAGGTGCTAGTATTACAGATGTGAGCTACCACATCTGGCCTAAAGTATGTTCTTTATGGCATAAAACTGTCCCCCTTCTACCTCCCCAGTGGAAAAAAAAGTCATCTACTGAAGATAGAGGCCAAGAAATGGCAGCTATACACCTGTGTCAAGTGCTGCACCCGACTGGGGAATTGGAAACACTCATGCAATTCCAGGATGAAGCTGATGCCACAACTGAATGAAACCAGCACCATTACGCCTTGCACTGTATTTCAGCAGTTATGTATACCGACTGTGGGGCTGGGTGCCCTGACAAGACAGCTGAAAGAGTTGGGCTGAAGAGAAGTGAATGGATTTATGGTATGTTTCGAAGCAACGTGACTTCATAGATTGGATTAGACGCCCAGGATGAGGGAGAGAGATGAAAGGAAAACACATAGATTTTCAGGCTACGCCTTTGTGTGGCTGATGCTGCTGTTTGCAGAGATGGGAAACTATAAACATGTCAGGGTTTGTGCAAGCAGCAGGAGTTATGTTCTGGCTGTGTTGGAGTTGGTATACTAATACAGGCTGATATGCAAGTCTAAGGTTCTGGAAAAAGGTCCAGGTTGGACACATGGCTGTGGGATCAGCAGTACATCCCAGAGTATGAAAGGTCACTTGGCATGTGGGTGGCTACGAGCAGGATGAGAAGAGAGTCTGGAACAGTCCACTGGTCATTCAGTGAAGGAGCCAGCATAGGACTGGGGGTGAATGCCCAGAAATGGAAGAAAAGGAGAAAACGTGGGAGAGGGGCCCGGGCAACCACCACACGTTGCCACAGAACAGAAGGGCAGGGATGGCATCTGGCGATAGGGTAGTGGTTGGTCACCTCCTGCCAAAAAAAAAAAAAAAAAGAACCCAAAAAACCCCCCCAGAGACCACCAACCATGAGGTGGTTCTGACCTGTCCATCGAGGCTGCACAGAAAAGGTTCCTGTGTCCTCTGCTTCACCTTCGCGACAACGGAGGACTGGAAACTCCACCCTAGGAAAATGGTACAGCTGACATTCCGAACGCGGACATCATGGAGGGGCATGAAGATCAACAGCACATGTTCATAAATATTCATGGTTCCTGCTGCAGCCTGTCACACATAATACACGTTTGGCCACCCGCCTGTCGCCTTCTGCACGAGGCCCTGCTCCCCAGTCTGTCAGGAAATCTCTCTAAATTTATGACCCTCGTCATTTCTTCAGTGGACACTTTTCTTCCTGTAAAATATGTTGTTTAATCTCGTCTGTCTTAGAGGTTGTTCTTAACTCCAAGGGGACGGCAGGGCCACACACCGCAGGCATCTGAGCGGCGCCGCAGGGCTGACCCTCACCCGCGCCGGCCAGCAACGCCGGCCGGGCAGCCCCACGCGGCGGTCTGCGGAACAGCGCACCATCTCCCACAGCGCGGGCACGGCTCGGGGTGCCGGGCCAGGGTCGGGCAGCCCCACGCGGGGGGCTGCGGAACAGCGCACCATCTCCCACAGAGCGGGCACGGCTCGGGGTGCCGGGCCAGGGTCGGGCAGCCCCACGTGGGGGGCTGCGGAACAGCGCACCATCTCCCACAGGGCGGGCACGGCTCGGGGTGCCGGGCAGTTCCCCACGCCCCCTATCTCGCGGCGGAGTGGCCGGCCCCGGCGCCCGGAGCAGAGGGAACAAGGCGCCGGGTCCCGCGCCTCCACCGGCCTCGCCCCACCCGCCGACAACCTCCCGGGAAGAGCCTGCCTGCTGGGCCGCCCTCCGTCCAGTCACGAGGGGGGCGGGTCTGCTCCGCATATAAAGGACGCCCCTTCGCCCGATTCCGGGCGCTAGAGTGCCCCGGCGCGACCACTATGGTGCAGGCCTGGTACATGGACGAGAGCCCCGACGATCCCAGGCGGCCCCATCGTCCTGAACCCGGCCGCCCGGTGGGCCTGGAGCAGCTGCGCCGGCTCGGGGTGCTCTACTGGAAGGTGCGGGGCCCTCGCGCACACCCGACACTGCTCCAGCGGGCGCCGCGGCCTTGGCGCCCGTGCGGATGCTGCGTCTGCTCAGCGGCGGCGCTTAGGGGTCTGGGCCCGGCTGCCGGGGCGGGGTGTGCTGCACAAGCTCAGCGGGGAGGCCGGGGGGTCGGGGGCCTGCTCCCGTGGCTGGCTGTGCTGCGCACGCGCAATAGTTGGCTAAAGGGTCGGCTGCCCGGCGTCCAGCGCATGCTCAGCTTCGAGCCTCCGGCGCTGGTAGGGCACGGCTGCGTGGTGGGCTTGGAGGTCGCGGGGTCCTGGTGTCCCTCGTTTATGGACCCCGGAGTTTCCGTTCTGGCGGGCAGGAGCTGGGTACGCCCACTAGGACGGTGTCTGGGGGGTCTCCTGGGAGGAGAGGGCGCTAGGCCCAGGCAGGCTGGGTGGCTGTCGTTCCTCCTGGGGGCGGCCCGGGCGGGGCGGGGCGGAGTTCTGAGCATATTGAAGCAGCCGCTGTACCCGCCGCCCTGAGCCCTGTCCTCCGCCTGTAATCCTTCCATTGTTTACTTGACCTGGGGCCATTCTTATTTTTATTTATTTATTTTTTTGGCGGGGACTGGGTTTGAACCCACCACCTCCAGTATATGGGGCCCGCGCCCTACTCCTTTCAGCCACAGGCGCTGCCCTACCGTATTTATTTTTGAACAGTTGTGAGAAAACAGGTTTAGGGGACAGGGCCAGGTGAGGGAGGCCTCAGACTTGGAGCTCTCTCGAAATGTAAACACAGGCTTACCCTGATCCACACGTGTTTTTTCCGTGGGAGAGAATCGAACTCCAGCTTAACAACTTTAGAGGTTATCTGGTCCCGCTTAGATGAGGGGGTGTGTGTGTGTGTGTGTGTGTGTGTGTGATAGTCTCCGTGGGGCGTCTTGTGGAGTGAAGGGTTCCCCTCTGGCACACCAGATCCTAAGTCTGAAAGGGCGAGCATGTTAATTTTTACATAGGTATTTTGTCTTTTCTTGGGCTAAGATTTATCTAACCTACTGGAAGGTACCATCTTCAAAGCTGTCAAGTGATTTATAATTTCTATTCGAGAAAAATAAGTTTTGATTTATAATAAAGTTGATTTGTCTGTAATCCAAAAACCAGTCAGTTCAAATTAACACACTTGAGGAGTGTCATTGCTTGACAGCTTAAGAGCAGGAATGACAGTACAGGTGACCTTCTAACTCAGTGGTTCTCAGCCTTCCTAATGCTGTGACCCTTTAATACAGTTCTTCACATTGGGTGACCCCCAACCATAAAATTATTTTTGTTGCTACTTCATAACTAATTTTGCTACTGTTAAGAATTGTAATGTAAATATCTGATATGCAGGATGTGTTTTCATTGGTTGCGACCCACAGGTTGAGAACCACGGTCCTAACTACAACCAAAGAGCATAATAAGATTTATTTTAAAGGCATCTTTTGGGTTTCATGAGGTTAAACCCAGTTTCTCCTACCTTCCCCTTCTGCTCTGAATGCATCAGAGGGCTATCAAATTGTATACTCTGTGGTTTTAGTGTCCTGTGTATTTTTGAATGTTTGCTTAATAACCTGGCTCAGTGGTGCCAAAAGACAAAATTACAACAAATTTAGTTAAAGATCTAATGTGCTTTTATTCTCAATTCATGAATCTGGGTAGCCTCTGTTGTATACAATAAAATGAGAGATCTGCTGGGTAATAGCAGAACGGTGAGTTTGGTAGGGTAGGAACAAAGAACCAACAACAAAAAACATAGAATAGGAAAAACGCTGGTTGGTTAACATCAAGTTACTTCAGGTTGCTTTTTTTTTTTATAAGGACTTATATTATGCTGGCTCAGGTAGATTGGAATCTCCTGTTTAGGAGAAATTGGTCTGTTTGGGGATCTACCCATTGCCTTAAAGCTTTGATTAGATTATGTGGCATTTTGCATGGGTCACTCTCTTTCAGTTGGGTTGGGTCTGCTGGGCCCTGTAAACACTATCCCCTTGGTGTTAAGTTTCATTGTGTGAATGGGGTGGGTGGGGGGCAGACACACTTAGATCATAGCAAATAGCACTGCACATGGCATGCAGTTGATTTCTAATTTTTTTCCAGTCATCTTTGTAGAAAATAATGTATTGGCGATTAGTGCTGTGACATAATTCTCTGGAGTTGGTTGTTCGGTAGTGGTGATAAAATGTATTTTATTGTAAAACATAAGGTCTGAATCCATATGCTGAATTCATTGCTGGTGGTTCTAAGTAGGAGTTCTGGTGACCTCTCTAGGGATATGCTCCATGAAGAAAGCAGCGTTAACATTGAACTTGCAGGACAGAAAGGACGGTAACAAAGGGAAATGGTGCGTGGGTATTTTAGCCGCAGAAAACTGTTGCATGTAAGGATGTGGGAATATAAGGTGTCGAGTATTTTCGAGAGTAGTGAATCGTGGTTTACAATGCAGATTTCTTTAAAAGTAGGGGAATGGGGACTGATAGAAGTAGAAAAGTCAACTGGGGCCTGATCCGAGATGGCCTCTCATTCCAGCCTAAGGAATTTGAGTATCAGGGCTGTGAGCGCCTAAGACGCTTTGGTCCAGGAAACAAGTTGACCAAAGACATAGAAGATCAGTGGGACTCACTGAGTGGGAGAAACAGGATATGGAGAGGGACCTCTGGACAGGCTGGACACGCCAGAGGCAAAGAGAGCGTCACCTCAACATGTGAGAGGGCGTCCCCAGGATGGTCTGTTGCAGAGAAGGGAGGCAGAACTCAGCAGAAGGTTGTTTGTAATGGTGTTGGAGAACGTGAAGTCCACTGAAAGCAGTTAGGCGTAGAGGTGGAGGATTAATTTAGGGTCGGCAAAGGAATACACGATAAAGTTGCGGCAGGGTCACACTGGAGGCCAGAAGGAGATTGTTTCCCCATCTTGTATTAACGTGATCTCCTTGTTGTTGTTTCAACTCTTTTAGCTGGATGCTGACAAATACGAGAATGATCCAGAATTAGAAAAGATTCGCAGAGAGAGAAACTACTCCTGGATGGACATAATAACCATAACCAAAGATAAACTGCCGAACTATGAAGAAAAGGTAAGGAGCCTGGCCCACTTGCGGAGGGGCTGCGTTCTGTTCAGTGCTGACCCACTCGCGGAGGGGCTGCGTTCTGTCGAGTGCTGACCCACTTGCAGAGGGGAGGCGTTCTGTTGAGTGCTGACCCACTTGCAGAGGGGAGGCGTTCTGTTGAGTGCTGACCCACTCGCAGAGGGGAGGCGTTCTGTTGAGTGCTGACCCACTCGCAGAGGGGAGGCGTTCTGTTGAGTGCTGACCCACTCGC